GACAGCTAGCCAGGCCGGAAAAGCTGGTGAGAGCAACTCACAGAACAAGCCGAGTGTGCTCCAGCCTGTGTGCTACGGGCAGGACGAGGCCACCTGAGCAGAATCTAAAAGAAGAAAACCGGGTGGAGGTGGTGCTGGGAGCTGGAGGCCCGAGCCGGCCCGGCACGTCTACTCTAATGATGGCTGACCTTGGGTTCACAGGCCGGCAGGGCCTCGCCACACCACAACCCGGGAGCTCAGAGCCACCCAAAGGGGCTGGGGGCCCCAGCGCAGGTCACGTCTACCTCCAAATGAACTCGACTCTGTATACCTCGGCGTCCTGAGCTCAAACGCCAGGGCCGGTGACGTCCTGGGGCCCCCCGGGTCCTCCTGCCCCGGCCTGCCCCAAGCCTCTGTCCTTGGCCCGTTCTCTCCGGCTCTGAGCAGTGTTCTGTTCTTTCTTCACGACGTAGCCCACGCTGGCCCCCAACACCAGCACTCCTGCCTTCCGGGCCCTGCCACTCCGCCTGCAGCCGTCTAAGCTGTGGCCGCGGCGGCCCCCACGCTCAGCGTGAAACTTGTGCCTGAGAACTTGTTTGATCTCTTCCAGAACATTCCAGCCTGGAGTGACAGAGCCGCAGCTGATTCCCTGGATGAGCTTAGATCCTCGGAGTCTCATGGACTTTCCTGCCCGGGCTGGCTTTGAACTGCAGTCCTCAGATCTCAGCCTCCCGAGTAGCTGGAGGACGGCGCCCGGCTAGAATCCTCCGCCAGCACTGCTCACCAGCACAGCCGCTCGGCCGCCTTGCGGGTGCGGCCAGCTGGGCTGCGCAGCGCCGCTTCTGAGGTCATCTCACAGCCCTCGCCCCCACCACGGGGACACAGAGGACACTCACCTGGCCACAGCCCCGGCGCTCATGCAGCAAGGGGAGAAGTGACGGGTAATCAGGAGATGAGGAGCCTGCGTTTGACATTCATTTAGTGTACCCACAGAATCCAGGTCGGTAAAGGAAACACTGGAGTTGGCTGCGTGGCTGATTTGCCATTTCAGCAGCCCCCGCCCCGCCCCTGCAGCTCAGCCACGCCCAGAGCTTCCAGAAGGAACCGCAGCAGACTCCACATGTGGAAAAGAGCGTGTACAAGGACAGTATCATAGGTGCTACAGCTACAACGTAGCCTGTCACACACACCATCTTTCAAGCAAGGTTCAAGTCTGGAAGAGTTCAGAGCCAAAGACGCTCACAGAGAGGAAGGCATCAGAAAGAGAGCTGGCCTATGCCGCCAACCCTGAGCTCAAGCCCCATGACCACCACAAGAAAGAAAGAGAGGGAGGGAGGGAGGGAAAGGAAGGCAAATTTCAAAATAGTTGGCTGTGTTAACTGCTGACTGAGCTGGTATGATACCCAAATGGCAGCCATACACACAAAATCAACCTAAATAATGTCAAGCTATTTTATAGTATTTATCTATACTTTATAACTTCATAAAAATGAAAACACTTTCCTTTGAGAGCTATTTTTTTTTTATCAGTCGTGGGTCTTGAACCCTGGGCCTGGGCGCTGTCCCTCAGCTCTTCAGCTCAAGGCGAGCGCTCTACCACTTGAGCCACAGCACCACTTCTGATTTTCTAGTGGTTTATTTTTTTATTTTTTGGGTCCGGTCATGGGGCCTGAACTCTGGGCCTGGGCGCTGTCCCTCAGCTCTTCAGCTCAAGGCGAGCGCTCTACCACTTGAGCCACAGCACCACTTCTGATTTTCTAGTGGTTTATTTTTTTATTTTTTGGGTCCGGTCATGGGGCCTGAACTCTGGGCCTGGGCGCTGTTCCTCAGCTCTTCAGCTCAAGGCTAGGGCTCTACCACTTGAGCCACAGCACTACTTCCGGCTTTTTCTTATGTGGTGCTGAGGAATCGAACCCAGGGCCTCATGCATGCAAGGCAAGTGCTCTACCACTGAGCCACCTTCCCAGCCCCTCTAGTGGTTTATTAGAGAAGAGAGTCTCACGGACTTTCCTGCCCAGGCTGGCTTTGAACCATGATCCTCAGATCTCAGCCTTCTGAGTAGCTGGGATGACAGGCGTGAGCCACCAGTGCCCAGCTTATTCAAATCTTAAGTATTAAAATGTACGAAAGATACTTAGAAAAAAGAAAAACATCCTGGAGCTGAATATATTTATGCAGTTCCAAACCTTGATGTCTGCTGGGCACTGGTAGCTCACACTGCAATCTACCTCCTCGGGAAGTGAAGACCCAGAAGACCAATGTTTGAGGTCTGTGCAGGCAGAAAGTGTCCATCTTAGGCAAAAAGCAGGGCTGGAGGCATTATGGAAGCAGTGGTACAGTACCAGCTAATCAAGCACAAGGTCTTGAGTTCAAACCTCAGTATCACCAGAACACTCTTGCATTTCTAATCTCTGTGCTGAAAAGTAACATCGCATAGCTACCTCCCAAACATATAATTGGTGGTGTCTGCAGCAGAAAGATGAACTACAGAACAGAGCTGCTCCTCCGAGCTAGTCCTTCAGCCCCTCGCCTCCCCGCTCCCCCCCCGCAGGGCCAGCTCACCTGGGCCCCACTGAGGGGACACAGGAGCAAGGCAGGGATGCCACCCAGGCCACCCACCAGCCCGGAAGGTGGCTACCATTCCATCTCAACTTACTGCAGGTAACTACACTCCTGCTTTACAAACGTAGCCGCAAGTTGGACAAAAGCAATATGTTAATTCTGGAAGGGGTTCATGCTCACCCCGTCTGCTCCCGTAAGGAACGAGGGGCCCCTAGAAAGTCTCACACACTGTCACATTCCAACGTGGGACACTCCCGTGACATACAGTGGAAACTGCTATGATAGTGCCCGCGTCATCTAGCTAATGGCGATGTTCACAGATGGTGGACACCTGCACGGACTGTCAGGTGTGTCCACGGGCCATCAAAGAACAGTAGTGTCCTCCCGGTCCGGGGAAACCCAGCACCTGGTAACACACGCCAGTGTGGAAGCAGGCAGGCAGGACAACGCACTTAGGATGCAAGCCCCGCAACTTCACTCCAGAGCACCACAGCAAACACCTAGGGATATCTGGGGGAACAAAGTCGCGCCCCCCCCCCCCCGGGCATCTCCCATGGGAACACCCGTCCAGCGTCCATGGAGACATGGCATGGAATTCCAACACAGGACAGGGGAGGGGGCCGCAGGGACTGCTTCTTGGAAGTGGAAATGACGCACTGTGATGGTCACTTGTCAGCCGGCTGTCAATTTAATGGGCTCTGAAACACTTCAAAGGAGGAAAAGCATTCACTATTTTGTCTTAACCAGTATTTCTAGCCTCAGCAGAAAATGTAAGGGCTTTTTAATTTTGTTTTTGCCAGTCCTGGGGCTTGAACTCAGGGCCTGGGCACTGTCCTTGAGCTTCTCTGTGCTCAAGGCAAGCGCTCTACCATTTGAGTCACAGCACCACTTCGGGCTTTCTCTGTGTATGTGGTACTGAAGAATTGAACCCAGGGCTTCATGCAGCCTTTCTCCCAAATATGTCTTCTTGTACTTTGGATCTGTGAGACTAAATAAAAATACTCACCTACAACAATTAGCACACAGTTTCCTACTTTCTCAATGTGTTTGCTAGAAAATGTACAACCACACTGACACTTCACCGATCACATTGAAGAACACAGGCCTTTGGGGTACACCATGCTCAGCAACGTGGTCCTGGGAGCAATCTGTGAGTGCACTCTATTTTTTTTTAATGTATTGCCAGTGTAGGGTCTTGAACTCAGGGCCTGGGCAGTCCTTACGCTTCTTTGCTCAAGGCTAGCATGCTCCCCTTGAGCCACAGAGCCATTTCTGGCCTTTTCTGTGTAAGTGGTGCTGAGGAATGGAACCCAGGGCTTCATGCATGCTAGGTGGGCACTCTACCACTGAGCCACCTTCCCAGCCCTGGCTGCACTTGTTCTTATGGGGAACTTACCACTCAGAATCCTGGCGGCCTTGCCCTCCGCTCATTCTATGCAGCACTCCCAGATTACAGATGGGAGACACCCCTGTTCCCTCTCCATGAATTTTAGCTTACTACTATTAACCTAAGCACAGAGATCAAGCTGGTACTTGGACCACTCAGCCTTAAGAGAATGAGTGCCTGTGTGCCATACCTAACACATGGGGCTCTGCCACGGGCCTGCAGCCACACCGCCCTCACTCGACCGAGTTGAGACAGCTGGCCTGCGCTCCAAGGAACGAGTTCACAAGCGTAGCATCACTGTCAGAGCTGACAATGCCCACCTAGTGCCCCAACTCAAGTTTCCAACAGTCTAAATGTTACCGTGGAAGTGGAGGCATGGCTCAAGTGATAGAGGGCCAGCTTTAAGGGAAAAAGGGACAGTGCCCAGGCCCTGAGTTCAAGCCCCAACACACACACACACACACACACACACACACACGCGCGCGCATGCACGCACAAAAGAAACAAAATGTTATTTATGTTTCTCACACTTGTATTTGTCGAGCACCTGAGCACAAGATCTGAAAGCTGCTCAGAATGTCCTCAAGCCCTGAGAGTGGCGGTGACCTCGGCATCGTGGTAGGAGGCTGAAGTTCAAGGGTAGTTCTGGGTAAAAAATGTTCCCAAGACTCCATCTCAAAAGAACAAGCAGGCATGGTAGTGCAGGCAGGCATGCCTGTGGTCTCGGCTGCAGGAGGGGTAAGGAAGGAAGATGGAAGTTGAGGCTAGCCCTGGGTAAAGAAACATGAGACTCTGAAAAAATAAAGCAAATAAGGCTGAGGGCGTGGGTCATGCGGCAGAGCCCACCTGGCAAGCAGAGGCCCCTCTAGAAAAATGCAACCCCCCAATACTGGTTTTAAGTACACACAGGCTCTCCCAAGCACACCAGAGGCGCTGGCAATTACACAGGTGAGCTCCCTGGCAGCCAGCCTGCATCCTGGACCCGTGGTCTACCAACGTGTTGCTGGAGACAAACACTCCAAAGGTCATCACCTTACAGTAAGTGAGCCGATGACAGAATAAACCCGACCCATTTTGGAACTATAATGCTTTTTATTACCAGAATGTATCAAACACTGATCTTTTTATAACTCTGCAATTCTGCCTCAGATCCCCAGTTTCACAATATCCAAGTAGAAGTTGATTCTGTTGCAGTTTTTCAGAGCAGAATAAAATCTTTAGCTTTCATGGTTCCGATCTAATGAGAAGAAACATTGGCCTGAGATACACATGGCCACAAAAGAGCACAAAAAGTATGAATTTGCCCCAAGCACACTGTCTGCGCAGTCCAAGGACCCCATTAGACTCCAAAGGAAGGAAGCTTCCAATCTGAAAATATTAAACATGTTAACTTGTGTTGATTTAACTCAAAAATCAAAATATAATGTAATTTCCCAGGATTCTCCTGAGACTCAGGAGTTTTTCAAGTAAATCATCGTGGCATTTGAGAAGAATCACATCTCTGGGGACAGGTCACCCCAACATGCTTTGTGACAGAGGGTATGTTACAAAAACTACCATAACCAGTATTCAGCGCTGCCTTCACATTCCCAAAGTCTCCAACTAATCACCTAGATTGCCGATACAGTGCAATCAGGGCGATACAGTGCGATACAGCGTAACCAGAACACACATAAAACAGATGTGGAACAAATACAACCAATTACTTCTCCTACGCGAACCTGCTCTGAGACTTGAAGGTCTATGTTGGAGCATATGGTACTACACTGTGAGCTACGTAAAATAAATAGATCTGTGTTGCACTGCGGCAGGACACGGGCTATCTACATACGGAGGACACCGTCAATGAGGGATCCCCAGCAGCAACGCTCCCGGCTGACCACGCTGACACTAGACATCAACAGGAGCAGTGTGACTCTTTCATCCTTTGGTTCCCAGTCGCGGCGGTGCCCGGATGCCTGCCTGCAGCTTCAGCTACTTGGGCGGCAAGATCTGACATGTTAGCTGAAGTTTGGCAGTCCAAGAAGTGCACCAACCGCTCCGAAGTAGCCCTGTGTGATTTTGAACAACTGTTAGAGCAGGGCAGCTTTTAGGGCAATGTCAGCACTTTCCATTAAGCACAGATTTATGGGTCACCGATTTGTCGGCTGTAGGGCTTGAACCCGGGTCCTGGGTGCTGTCCCTGAGCTTTTTTGCTCAAGGTTAGTGCTCAAGGTTGAACCACAGTGCCACTTCCAATTTTCTGGTGGTTAACTGGAGATAAGAGTCTTGCAATTTCCTGCCAGGCTGGCTGGCTTTGAACCATGATCCTCAGACCTCAGCCTTCTGAGTAGCTAGGATTACGGGTGTGAGCCACAGTGCCTGCCTTTTTTTTTTTTTTTAAATACCAAGCAATACTGAGCCAAGCATCATGATAGAGTGCCAGCCTTGAGCAAAAAGAGCTCAGGGACTAGTGCCCAGGCCCTGAGTTCAAGTTCCACGAGTGACAAAAAAAAAAAAAAAGATAAAAAGTTTAAGCTCTTTCTGAACAGATATACATCCTTTTAATATAAAAAGCTTCCAAGCCAGGTGCCGGTGGTTCACGCCTGTAATCCTAGCTACTCAGGAGGCTGAGATCTGAGGATCGTGGTTCAAAGCCAGCCCGGGCAGGAAAGACCGTGAGACTCCTATCTCCAATAAACCACCAGAAAACCAGAAGTGGCGCTGTAGCTCAAGTGGTAGAGCGCTCGCCTTGAGCTGAAGAGCTGAGGGACAGCACCCAGGCCGAGTTCAAGCCCCACGACCGACCAAAAAAAAAAAGCTTCCAAGACTACAAAGCAGCTGAGCTGAGGGTCTTGGGACCATTCAATAATAACAAATCAAATAACCTCTGTGTTCTGCATGCTGGCTGGCTGCCCAGGCCTCGACCTGCCGTTCAGGGAGGGCAGGAGGAGGAACGCGGGCTTACAAGAGCAGAGCCAGATTCTGGATTCGTTTTAGGAACTTACAATAAATAACCAACTGACTTTGATTTAAAGTTAACTTTACTTAGCCCAGAGCATAACAAGGACTATTAATTGAATTAGAAACTGGATGTGAAGAAATTCACAAATTCCAAATGCTAGTGGCAGTAGGAGTCAGGTGAGGACCTCTGGTGGTAGAGTTTAGTCAGAATTTCCTTGCTAAATGACCTATTTGTGTAATGAGCCACATTTATCATTTTAAATAATTTAACAAAGCAGAGAATCGACTGAGTCTTCTGCAGCCCTAGGTAGATACCTCATGCCGCTCACTTGCTCACAAGAACTAGGAAATCCTCATTCATGGTTCTCATGGCTGTTTTTGGCAGGACTGGGGTTTGAACCTAGAGCCACGCCCCTAAGCCCTTTTTTACTTTTTTCAGGCAAGCTCCTGAGTTTTTGCCAAGGCTGGCCTAGAGGTCAGTCCTACTACTTATACCATCATGTCCAGCTTAAAAAAAAAAAGGGAGGAATTTCCTTCAGCTCTCAGAGTGCAGTCCACGTCAGGGCTTCATCCCATCCTTCTGAGCTCTCGGCCAGCCAGAACATCACGGTGTGCTCTTCCCTTTGTAGCAGACAGGAAGCACAAAGCCGGACACAGGGAGACCTGGTGTCCAGCTGTCTTTTGCTGGGTATGACCCTGAACTGTAATTCTAATCTCTGCTTCTCCAGTAGGATTACAGGCGTGAGCTACTGCACCCAGCCTGAGATTCTACCTGGAAGCCTGTAATCTCACCACCTAGAACATTCATTCAGGCAGGAGGACAGATGTAAGAGCAACCGGATCTACAACATGTCTCAAGAAAAACACCTAAAACGTCCTTTTACCTTACAAACACAAGGCATGAAGCAGCATGGAACATCGATATTTAAAAACAGGTTGTTAAACAATTAATGAAACATAGTTGTCATACCTCATGCTCTAAAAACAATGCTTTCAATTGACCTTTTGACCAGTAATCCAATGCATAGGCCAAGAGCTTCATGGAGAGGGTGTTGACGCGTAAGAAGTTTCCGACAAAGACAACTCTGTTTATTTTCTGAGAGAACAAAGAGAGTGACTTGTGGAGGAGCCGCTGTGCAGCTGTTCAGAACGGCTGCCAGTCCACGCCCGCGCGGTCCCGGGCGCAAAGCTCTGCACATCCACACACCCGTGCGGGGCAGAGCCTGGATGCCAGGCGGCTGGCCCCCCAACGGCAGGCAGCGCTCGCTGGGACCTGGCCGGGGAGGCCGTGCTGAGCGTGGCTGGAGGGCAGGAAACCAAGGCCGTCTCAGAGCCCCAGTCTACTGTTCTCAGGTGGAGAACAGCGGTGCCCACTAACCTGCCTGTCCCCAGCCTGACCCACCGAGCCATTCTCCCTGTCTCGATCCCACACTCGCAAAGCACTCCCCAACCTCATTCTCCTCCAGAGTGGGGGCTCTGTGTACTTGTTCCTGTGCCACAGCCTCGCTCCTGCCTGCACGGCCATGTCGGCAACATCTTGTCTTTGCCCACGGACCGCGTTTTCTCTCTTCCCCTTGGTTTCTAGTTGTTTGAACTCTTCCAAGATTCTCTATGAAGCACTGAGTCGTCACCGGACCAGACGTCTCAGCACCTCCAACACTTCTGCGTGTAACTATGCACACCAGGCCTTCTACTCACACGATCTTCCTCTCCCACTAAGCCACTAATGTACATTGAATGACTTATCATGCATATCCGCAGAATAATGCAAATTCTAAAGTGGAGGGGGACAGGCGGGATGGGGTTTTCAATCCATGAGTGAATGAACAAATCTTTCATCAAGAAGCAAAGCTCCTAGTTCATCCTACACACACATGCTTTTCAGAGCCAGCAGCACACACCCCTCACACAGCCCGTGAAGACGCAGTCTCGCTGTCCTCATAGCCCTGTACAATGCTGCTTGATCCACATGCAACAAGGCAGCACTGTAGAGAAGCCGAGGGCAGAGAGAACCTTGAGCATGTCTTCCTCCACTTCCTCCAAATGGCCAAGGGTCAGAAAGAATCAGGAGGCGGTGGCTCAATGGCTACTTTAATCTGAATCGGCTGTCCTTTGTGTACAGCCAGTGGAACCAGAGCACACACACGAATGGAACACTTCTGTGCTACAGGCCTCCAGAAGAAAGCACGATCAGATGCAGTCTGCAACAAATGAAGGATGTGACTTGTCTTTACCTCGTTAACCGCACACATCCGCGCCACAGAGCCAATGTTATTGGTGATGGTGACCAGTGTTGCTCTTGCCAGGTCCTCCTTACTGACGGCCTCGCGCTTCTCCTTGTAGATCATATTCCCAAAACTGCAGAGGAACAGGACGAAGCAACAGATGGTCAAAGCCACAGCAACTGCCACACTTCACCCATTACACCCACAATCTGGGCAGTGTGATCAGCCAGGGTGAAGCACAAAAACAGATCTATGCCGGGAATAAGCAAACGCTTATTAAGGAATATCTTTTACAGAACTCAGGTTATATTCAACCTCACAGAAAAGCACACACTGAGATGCTATAAAGAAGCAAAGATGATGAAGACATGTATGTTTAAACCTGATACTAAATGAGGAAATTAGAAGGCGATTACTTAAGAAGTGGAGAAAAAAAATAGCAAAATCCATTTTGACTTACTCGTAAAAAGCCAAAATGTTTTCCAAGACTACCTAATCTTCAATGTCAAACTTGTCACTCAATACCACATTCATTACATGTACACAAGCATTCCACTAGAGACTCAAATGACATGAATTTCCTATTTTCTACTAGCCACATTGGAAGAGAGCAATGCAAGTGCTAACCAGAACGGGAAAAAAAGCAAAAGCAAGTACAAGCTACCTTAGAAACAGAGGGAAAAAAAGAGTTGATAAGGCGTGATGGGAACTTTTCCAGAGTAAAATGAACAGAAAAGCTACATTAAAAAAAAAGAAATCTTGGGCAGTAACAAAATGTGTTGGCATGGGAACATGTGTGTGACATGACAAGTGACAGCACAGGGTCCAAACACAGGGCCAGCTGAGCGGCACCCAGGAGGGAGCCCCATGTCCACCTACACCAGTCCTCACAGAACAGGACAACAAAGCAAAAGAACATTTAAGAACACTTAAAAAGCAGTGCATGAACATATATGACAAAGACTTTCAAAATGTGGGAAAGGAACAAAAGAAGCCTTAAACAAATATATAAACTAACTTTTACAAAAGGGAGATAAAACACCATAAAGATGTCACTGTCACTAACATATAAGCATAATAAAATTACTAAAAATAAGCCTTTTCATTTACAGTAGGAAACATGATTGTAAATTTCACATAGAAAAATCAGAATAGCAACAGGAGACTGGCTGTTGTAACATCAAGTATACTTTACACTTCTACTAATAAGAGTCAGGTGTCTGTGTACCAGTAAAGTAGCAAAAAGCAGCCAGGGTACGGCAAGAACAAACAGAAGTCATCCGACATCACTGGAGTGATAAAGAGCTATATAAATTGTAGGGTGCATCAAAGGGAAAAAAATCAAAAAACCTCCAACTAGATATGCACCTCACATAAAATTGCAAGATAAATTAAAGATTTCTATTAAATCAAAGATAGAAATTGTAAGACACTGAAGCACCAGAAGAATATAAGGCTCTACTCCTTTATATATTGGGAATGTGAAGACTTACTTACTATGCATCATTATCCTGAAGCCATAAAGGAAAAGACTGATCAATCAACTGTGCGACAATCCAACAGAGAAACAGAACATAACAATCATGCACACAGAGTAACATGTTTATTCCTGACCTCACTGTTAGTAGAAATGTACGTTAAGGCTCACTATCTACGCCACTAACCCATCAGATTACAGGAAGGCCCTCCTTCAGCTCCTCATCTCCTGTAGCCTAACACCCCAACAGCAGTTACCCCCCTGGCTTTGGGACACAGGAACAGAGTGAGAACATGACTTCAACATGGAATTATGCTTATGCTACATGGCCACTTTAGAGCACATACAGGATGCTGTATATAGTAGCGTAAAGTATAAAAGTATGTCAATGACAATTCTTTGTTTAGAAAAGATAATAAGGATATCCATATTTGCATAGAGAAAAGCTGGAAGGAGATTTCAGAATAAGTAAAAGTAGTTTCTTAGAGGCATACTTGTGATAAACTTCTGAATGTAGAGTTAATTTTTACACTATTTCAATGTCCCAAACTCAAAACCATACCAAACAAAAATCTCCTGTACAATCCCTGATACACTGCTTTCCAAGAACAATAAACAACTAGAGCAGTAACACAAAGGTTAAACTTACCTAGATGCTACAGCCCAACCTGGTAGACCAAATCTTTCATAATCTCCTCCGTAAATGTCCCGGACCAGCTTGTCAGCCTGGGTGCTGTCACCTTTGGATGCCATTTCCAGAGCCTCTTCAAAACTTTCACAGCCAGTCAATAAACTGCACAGGCCCAGAAAGGTGCCACCTCCGAGGCTAGAGAGAGGTAAGAAAACTTGCTAGATTGTACTTATACACAGCAATCTGTCTCCATGGTGAAAGGTGCAGCTTTCACTTACCAAAAAAACAATACTAAAATGTCAACATCATGAAAGGGCAAGAAAAATTGCTGAGCGAAACCAAGAATGAACTGGGCACTGGGGCACTTGGGATTAACAGCTCACATTCTGGTGTGTGTGTGTGAGAGGAAGGGTGTGGTAGCTCATGCCTGTAACCCCAACCCCTCTGGAGGCTCAGGTAGTAAGTAGTCACGGGCCAGCCTGTGTGACTGACTGAGCTCTGTTACTTCAGGAGTGGGGCGGGAGTGCTGAAAATTCTACCATGAAGGCTATGAAGGCAATCTGTTATCTTAAACGGCTTACAAGAAATGACTCTGTGAAGGGCCTGTCTCCTTACCAGACTCCTGTGATGAAATCAATGGATGCGACAAGCTACTATTTAACATGCCCCAGCCCGGAGGGTCAGGAGAAGCACACAATGGGGCATCATGTCAACAACAGAAACTGACCTGCGACTAAAATTTTGAAAAAAAATACTTGCAACATGAAATTACGTCTCTCCAATCTCTAACCTATTAATCTTTGATCCCTGGTCATCCCTAAACCCTGCTAAGTTAATAGTTAAAGCTAGTAAAACCATACTCTGTAGAAGAATTTTCTGGTATAAAGTTACAGTGGAGGTGGGCTTCTAACCCCTACAATAAGAAATTACTACATTTAAGTGTCACAGCAGACGTACTAATTGAAAAATCAATCTAATCTGAAGTATTTCAAAATCTTTCTTCCTTACTACACAGGAGCTTCCATTTCTTAAAAACGGATGAAATTGGGCTGGGAAAGTGCTCAGTGGTAGAGTGCTTGCCTCACATACATGAGGCCCTGGGTTCCATTCCTCAGCACCACATACACAGAAAAAGCCAGAAGTGGGCGCTGTGGCTCAAGTGGTAGAGTGCTAAGCTTGAGCTGAAGAGCTGATGGACAGCACCCACGGCCAGAGTCAAGCTCCAAGACCAACAAAAACAAAAACTGATGAAACGACCCTCACCAGAGACTCAGGAAGCTGTGCAGAGGCTTAGTTATGTAAGTCAGGCAATGAACACACTGCTTCTTGAACAGTGTCACCTCTTCCCTCCCTTTCTCCCGGTTTTCTCCCTGCCCCAATTTCAACACAGTATCTTAGTGAGTATCACTGCTGCATTTGTTCACCCTCTGTTCCACCATTTCCATGCTCCCTTCTTACCTCACCAAGAAAACCAAGTTTATATACAGGACAAAAAGGACTGAAAATAAAAATAGTAACAAAGGGGAAAAAAAGTAAAATAACAAAAAACCTCTTTTCTGTTTCTTGGAATTCATCTCAATCAACGTCATTTTACATGATGGTATGCATCTAGTTGTGGAGACTGTGTGCTCCTCTCCTAAGCATACCCTCAGGATGGTCTTTTCCTGTGCATGTTCTAAGTAGGTATGGCTTATTTGCAAACATTAACTTTACCCTATTAAGGGAATCCACACTAAATTCATACTATAAGAATTAACTACAGCCAGGAGTCAGTGGCTCAGGCCTGTCATCCTACCTACTCAGGAGGCTGAGATCCGAGGATCTCAGTTCAAAGCCAGCCTGGTCAGTAAAGTCTGTGACTTTTATCTCCAATGAACCATTAGAAAATCAGAAGTGGTGCTGTGGCTCAAGAGTGCTCGCCTTGAGCTGAAGAGCTGAGGGATAGCACCCAGGCCCAGAGTTCAAGCCCTGCAACCAACAACAACAACAACAAAAGAATTAATTACACTATGGGGCTGGGAAGGTGGCTCAGTGGTAGAGCGCTTGCCTTGCATGCATGAGGCCCTGGGTTCGACTCCTCAGCACCACATAAGCAAAAAGAAAAAAGCCGGAAGTGGCGCTGTGGCTCAAGTGGTAGAACACTAGCCTCGAGCTGAAGAACTGAGGGACAGCGCCCAGGCCCAAAGTTCAGGCCCCACGACCGGACCCAAAAAAAATTAAAAAAAAAAATTAACTACACTATCCCATACTATAATTCAAATGGGAAAATGCTGAGCACACAGCAAGGTTTTATTAACAAGTGAAAAGTAGTCAAAGAAAAAAGTGCTTTGGAAAACAAAAGGAACAAAATATAAACAGGTATACTTTTGAAATCAACAGAGCACTGCTGCTTCTGTGAGTGCTCTTCTACTAAAATGTTACTCTAATCATTGTAGGTAAAAATGCACTTAGTAATATGGAAATTCTAATACTGAGCAATAATGAACAGTTAGGGATTTGGGTTTTTGAGTCTTCATAGTATATTTAAAAAAAGTACAGGGTTGGAGGTTTGGCTCAGCAGCTAAGAGCACATGCTTAGTAACCACAAGGTCCTAAGTTCAAATCTCAGTTCTGACAAAAACAAAACAAAAAGCCATATAGACTTGAGCTAAAGAGCTCAGGGACAACGCCTAGGCACAGAGTTCAAGCCCCAGGACCAACCAAAAAAAAAAAAAAAGGCAGGCGCCAATGGCTCACACCTGTCGTCCTAGCTACTCAAAAGGCTGAGATCTGAGGATCATGGTTCAAAGCCAGCCCAGGGAAGGAAAAGTCTGTGAGACAATAAATCACTCAGAAAACAGGAAGTGGTGCTGTGGCTCAAGTGGTAGAGCGCTAGCCTTGAGCTGAAGAGCTGAGGGACAACGCCCAAGCCCAGAGTTCAAGCCCTTTGACTGACAAAATGAAAGTACTATCTGTAACACAGAATTTATCTTTAGATTTTGTTGCTGCACTAATAGCTGTCATTTTCCTGGTAAAGTTAGCATCAATATATGTGTTTTTCAGCTGGGGGAGTAGCTCAGTGTACAGCACTTTTACATGAGGCCTGACTGAGGGCCTTGATTTGATCCCCAGCACTGGATACAGGCAGGCACGAATGCATACACACACACACAACCACAGCTACTGTGAAAGCTGCAACAAAACCCAAGGATGACTGACCTGGTCCCAGTCACACGCTTGTAGCTGTCTTTGGAATGCACGGCCAGAATACTGACTCCGGAGCCAATGTTCACCACCAGGAGTGGATAAGGGTCATCCAGGTTAAAAGGCATCTTTTGGCATCGCTCAGGTTCCGAGGCATTGGCAAAATAATAGCACTCTGCTTGCCCATTGAAGCTGACAGAATCTATGTACAGCAAGCCCTTTACAAGGCAGTCAAGTTCATCCAGTTTGTGTAGGTGGAGGTTTCCAATCTGTATGACAATCCAAAAATAAAACTGGGTTAAAAAGAGGATCCATTCAAAACTTTCAGGCACCTGACAAAACTTCAGTATCACCTGTGACACAGCACTTTCCCGTTTTGTACCTAATTTCTCAGGGCTCTGCCTCTCTGCTGGGAACTGTTGTTTCCAAAGACAGCGACAGGCAGGGGCCACACTGACATCCTGTGGGCAAGAAGCTGGATGCCACCCAACTGCCAAAGTGCCACAGAATTTCTGGACTGCCCATGCCGGCCCTGTGAGACACTGCCGTGGGGGCAGTAGGAAAGTCTGATGATCTAGATTTTCATAAGCATGCATTTACCTACCAATATATACACAAATGTCAGGCATTCTTTAGCAGATATAGTGAACACAGAATTTACTTACTTGTGCCCTCTGTTGTTGGGAGAGGTTTGGGGAGTACTACCAGCATTTGAACTCAAAGCCTTACTTACTTACACTATCTAGGCAAATGCCTCTACCCCTTCAGCCATACTACTTGTTGGTTTTCCTTTTGCCTGGGCAGGCAGACTGTGATCTTCCTATACCTCTCCCTAGTTCAGATTACAGATGTGAAACACTGTGGCTTTTTTGTTTAGATGGAGTCTTTTTAGCTGGTCTTGGACCTTGATCCTCCTGATCTCCACTTTCTGAGTAGCTCAGATGACAGGCTTCAGCTGTCTGTGGAGTTCTACCAAGTGCTATTCAGCATGACGCCACTGATTCACTCATCAAATGACCTGGCAGTTATACCTTTAGCATTCAGAATTCCGAAAAAGTAATCTTGGCTACCAATGGTAAATTAATAGCCAGCTGGGTGCTCGCATATATGTGCAAGCATTTAGCTAATTCATTAGTCCTGTGTTCTAATTATACAAAAGCGTCTGTGAGCAGATAGATACATTCCTGCCTTTGCATTGCAATTTGGGTAGCTGAATGAAACTATTACATTCATTTCAGGTTAGAAAGGAGTGTATTATAACATTTTACTTTTACCTAGAATTTACTATGGGCTTTAAATTACCAAACTCTTATTCCTAGCTTTATTCTTCCACTCTTTAGGTCTGGATATCAACAAACCAAAATTATAAAAACTAGAAAATAGCTACATTTGGGCTGGGAAAGTGGCTCAGTGGTAGAGCGCTTGCCTTGCATGCATGAGGCCCTGGGTTCAATTCCTCAGCACCACATAAGCAGAAAAAGCTAGAAGTGGCACTGTGGCTCAAAGTGGTAAAGCACTAGCCTTGAGCAAAAGAGCTGAAGGACAGTGCCCAGGCCCAGAGTTCAGGCCCCATGACCGGCAAAAAAAAAAAAAGAAAAAAGAAAACAGCTACATTAAAAAAAAATTGGAACTCCATATTTGGATGACAGTATCTTTACTAGCCAGGGTGAGAACTGGCTTTAAGCATATTAGCAAACACTAACTATCCCACCAGCAGGCATGGTGGTGCATACCTTCAATCCTAGGTACTAAGGAAGTGGGGACAGAAGGATCCTGAGTCTCAGGATAGTTAAGAAAAGTTGGTGAGAATGAGATTCAAAATCATAAAAGTTAGGCACCTGTGGCACTAGCCTGCATCCTAGCTACTCAGGAAGCTGAGATCTGAGGGCCATGGCTCAAAGCCAGCCCAAGCAGGTAAATACGTGAGACTCTTATCGCCAATTAACCACCAAAAAGCAGAAATGGAGCTGTCACTCAATTGACAAAGCACCTGCTAAGCAAGCCTGTTGAGCCCCAGTACCATAAGTTAAAAATAAATAAATATGTATCTAAAATGTCCTGGCTGCCAGTTTGTGAAATTCATGTTCAAATGACTCAAACTGGAATTAAATCAGTACTTTTCATCATAAGAAAAACAATTTCTTGGGGCTGGGAAGGTGGCTCAATGGTAGAGGGCTTGCCTTGCATGCATGAGGCCCTGGGTTTGATTCTTCAGCACCACGTAAGCAGAAAAGGCCGGAAGTGGCGCTGTGGCTCTTGTGGTAGAGCGCTAGCCTTGAGCTGAAGAGCTGAGGGACAGCACCCAGGCCCAGAATTCAGGCCCATGACCAAAAAAAAAAAAAGAAAAAGAAAGAAAGAAAAAGAAAAACAATTTTTCGAAAAAGTAAAACCAAATTTCAGTTGCCCCCAAATCCCAACTCTCAACTTATGAAGGAGACTGGCAGTTTTGCAACCTCTAACATGTTAACAACAGATCAGCACTCAATCATAGTTTGGCCAGATCACCAAGACAGGAACTTGTGCACTAAACAAATGGTTCTGGAGAGACGCCCTGGGAGCAGAACTGAATGTGCAGAGCTATGTACACCTGACCCCAGACCCTGCAGCGTCAGCACCTCCCAAACCCTCCATTCACCACATACCACGGACACCACCCAGATCTAGTCCTAAGTCCAGGTTTCCTCTGTGGGATCCAGACTCGTATTTCAAAACTAAACACAGCAAGCCTCAATCATTGGTTTTCAAGTCACAAATACCTACTGTGCGAAAATCTTTTTCAAACTTGTAAGCACCACCTCCGGTAGCACATAGCACCGTGTGTAACGTGGAGAAGTTTTTATCTCTTCCCATTTGGATAAAGGTAGGCAGGTCCTGGGTTGGAAATCTGATAAAGTGCAAGTTCCCCCTTCGCCCAAACAGAGTCAAGTCCTTCAGTTCAAGGTGCACATCCCGGACGCCAGTGGACCCGTAGGCCACATTAGAAGTCAGGTATTTCCGAATACTTTTTAAGCTCTCCACCTCCTCTTGCTCTTCCTCAGCAGTGATATCAATGGGTTCAAAATATGAGAGCTTCACCAGAGTCCCCCCGATGTCCATGCCAAACCACGGGAAAGCTGCGAGTGGAAGAAACACATTCATTTTAGAAATGCACATTAGGAACTAATTAGTCATGAACTCCACTCATCCTGAACTAGGCACTCAGTCACCAACAGTTAGTAGGTGAAACATACCTCCCATATGTAACTTACCTTTTCCTTCAGCTTTGTGCATGTTCTAAAAAACATAGGACACTTAGGGATGGCTCAGAGCCTTTCAATTCATGGTCTGATAGATACGCTTTATTTACTATGTACTCATCTCATGTTCCAAGTGAATGAATTTGAGTCAACAACTAGAGTATCACATCTGTTCTATATTTTAATATAGTAAAATTGCCCCGTAATCCATCCAGTAGCCCACGGGAGAAGTGCCTCCTTAAAGTCTTTTTGCTCATTAGGCGCTAGGTCTCTGGGCACAGCTGGTTAATTATGGTGGAGGTATGTCTTGTCAGGGACAGGCACGTTTGGGCTGCACAGTGTTTCAGGCGTGGAACAGGCTGCCCTGTGAACTGAACTGTGTGACTCTGGAGAATCCATTAAGCTCCCCAGGTATCACTTCCAACTCCCTTCAGGGAGTAATTATTGAATATCTCCTCTCCATCAGGGAACCGAAACGTAACATGAGTAAAACTTGTTCCCACGGAGAGCTGACGGCAGACTATAAACACAGGTGCATGAAGAGGAGACAGGACACACCACACCTGCAGCATGGGTCAACAGGTGAGCGCTGCATCTTTGCTCTAGTTTAGTGCGAGCAGTACTAAACACATCCCAAGGTAAAGATGCACAGCTGATGAGGAGAATGGAACTTCCTCTACAGACAATCTGTATACTACTTAATATTCTCAGCAAGAGAGCGTAAACTAGCTTCCTTGGTGGCAGACTGAAGAAGTGGGCCTTGTGATGTGCCTGTGAAGTATGGCTGCAGCACCCTAAATCTACATAGGACAAAGCTTACCTATGCTTGGGGCCTTGCTCCAGAGGCAATAACCTTTAAAGTGTGCTTTGCAACAAAATACATTTTACAGTTTTATGTAAAAATTGTCAGGAAAATAATGTTTTCATGGAACATTCTATAATTCCGCTTATTTTTCTTTTCTTTTTTTTTTGGCCAGTCGTGGACCTGAACTCTGGGCCTAGGCACTGTCCCTCAGCTCTTCAGCTCAAGGGTAGCGCTCTACCGCTTGAGCCACAGCGCCACTTTTTCTGTTTATGTGGTGCTGAGGAATCAAACCCAGGGCCTCAGGCATGCAAGGCAAGTGCTCTACCACTGAGCCACCTTCCCAGCCCTGTTTTTACTTGTCAGTCGTGGGGCTTGAACTCTGCTTCTGGACATTGTCCCTGAGCTCTTCTGCTCAAGGTTAGCACTCTACCACGTGAGCCACAGTGCCACTTCCAGTTTTCTGGTGGTTAATTGGAGAGAAGTCAAGGAGACTTTCCTGCCCCGATGGCTTTGATGTGATCCTCAGATCTCAGCTTCTTGATAGCTAGGATTACAAGGCGTGAACCACTGGCACCTGGCTTATAGTTCTACTTTTATTCCTACTTTATTACTTGAAATGTGTATATGTATAGCATTAGAAAATAAAAAGTGACTCAATGAAAAAGGAGTCTATATATTTCTCTATTCTAGAATTTCCACATTTACTAGGATTAGCTGTGATTTTGAATGTGCAGGAGGAATAATTCTCATCATTTTCTAGAGAGCTCACACTTTTCTTCAGACAGGGCTTCACTTACATGCCAGGACACCGATCCTCCTTAGCACAAGAAAGCAGCAGAAGAAACCAATTTTTCATTTTTTGTGAAGTGGCTAGCTATAGAACCCATCTTGAATAACGTGGTGGCGATTATTTACAAAAATCAATGACTAAACCAGGCACCGGTGGCTCATGCCTGTAATCCTAGCTACTCAGGAGGCTAAGATCTGAAGATCATGGTTCAAAGCCGGCCCGGGCAGGAAAGTCCGTGAAACTCTTATCTCCAATAAACCACCAGAAAACTGGAAGTGGTGCTGTGGCTCAAGTGGTAGACTGCTAGCCTTGAGCTGAAGAGCTGAGGGACAGTGCCCAGGCCCAGAGTTCAAGCCCCACAACTGACAAAAAAAAAAGTGACGGCTACATCCCTGAATAAATTCTTCTAGTTTATTATGCAATATAGAGTTCCTGCTGTAAGAGTTTTATGTGAAAAATCACAGATGGTTTCCCTGACCCTGCCTGTCACTCTGTTCAAATAATATTTAGCAGCAAGAAACAACGCTTCCATTAAGAAGGATGGACACTGACACCAAGAATGTTTCCTTGGGTAAGCACCCTTAGGAGACACTCCTTTAGAACGGTCTCAAGTCTACTAAGGACACATGCGATTAGGGACTTTATGACAAACACAAGATAGAAAACAAATGAATGCTCTGACACTTCCTAAGCAAGATGAATTGTTTGACCTACACATTCTTCTAGATTTTGTGGAGTGGGTGGAAATCACATAAGTAACATTTTGGCACAGGAAAATTTCCACAGGGTAAGATTATTTATGCTAAAGACCTTTATTTTTAAAAAATTTGAAACATATTAAAACCCCTTACTCACACCATTATTATTATTATTACCATGGCAGTATTGGGATGAACCCAGGGCCTTGGGTATGCTTCTCAAAAATCCTTACAAATAAAAACTAGCATTTTGAAATACACCAGTATTCACCTTCATACGTTCACTCCTTAGTTTTAGGTAAAGTTTGTTTTCCTTAATAAATCACTTGTTTTGACTAGAAGTTATGAGAAACTATTGCCTCCAAAAGCACCTAATTATCTACTAGAGATGATCATTTCTACATAACTGCTAAATTTACAAAACAGATCAATCAAATTACACAGAAGCAAATTACACATAGACGCTATATACACAACTAGCAGTGCTTAACCCAAACTTGAAGTTCCTTATCCTTACTACCTGGCTCATCAGAGTACTGATTCCAAGCATGCATTACGTCACAGGTAAATCTATCTTCACCTGTCAATCTTGTTACACTGTCATACAGGTAGCTAAACATAAGCTGAAAACCTTAAGAAGTGGTGTCAGTCATGGAAGAGGGTTGAACTAACACGTGATCAGAAGGCTAGTTACACAAACAGAATGATCAAAGCAATTCTCTATGAAAGTTTCTAGCTAGTATTTACATGTGCTTTATGATCTGGTAATATTCTGGCCAAGTATCTAGGAGTAATGTGTGAAGCTAAAGGCAAGTATTAGCCAGAAGGATTTACAGTCACCTCTAAACATATGAAGTACCTTCCATGTGCCATATGACAAATAGCTGTATAGCTATTTGAAAACACAATCCATTCAAATAGTTCATTTTAAAACACAACAAGCTGGAGGTGTGGCCCAGCTGGTAAATCACTAGTCAATGAGTGAAAACTGCAGGTACCAAGTTCAGACCTAAAACAAACCTAAAAGATCCACAACATAATTGTGTTAGATAACTTAAATGGATTAAAAACAGTACGGCAACATTTGTCAGTTGTATTTCCAGAGCAGACTATCTTCTTTCCCAACACAAAACAAGACAAATCTGAATTCCTTACAATAAAGAACTAGCAGACCTTTAAACTGGGAAGTTTAGTCTTCTAAATCATATTAACTGACCAGTGTTTCTGTAAGACTCTATTTTAAGATCAATGGTTTCATAATGCACTACAATAAACACTTAAAAAAATGCACTCTCTGATTTTCAACCTGAAGTTTATTCTACAAACTTTTTTTTTTGGCCGGTCCTGGGCCTGGCACTGTCCCTGAGATTCTTTTGCTCGGGGCTAGCACTCTACCACTTGAGCCACCTTCTCAGTTCCTAGTTTACAAACTTGAGCCACTTCTGGTTTTCTGGGAGGTAAGAGTCTCATGGACTTTCCTGGCGGGGGCTGGCGTTGAACCACAATCTTCAGATCTCAGCCTCCTGAGCAGTAGGATGACAGGCGTGAGCCACTGGTGCCCGGCTTAGGCCACGGTCTCAAACCCTTTCTGCCAAATGAGAACCACAGACAGACAGACAACTGTGTGCCTGTGTGTGTGTCCAGGACTCCTCATCACTGCAGTGTGTGTTTAGCCGTGTGTGTGTGTGTGTCCAGGACTCCTCATAGCTGCAGCGTGTTCAGCCGGGTGTGTGTGTGTGTGTGTGTGTGTCCAGGACTCCTCATCGCTGCAGTGTGTTCAGCTGTGTGTGTGTGTGTGTCCAGGACTCCTCATCGCTGTGGTGTGTTCAGCTGGGTGTGTGTGTGTGTGTGTGTGTGAGTTCAGCCGGGTGTGTGTGTGTGTGTGTCCAGGACTCCTCATCGCTGCAGTGTGTTCAGCTGGGTGTGTGTGTGTGTGTGTCCAGGACTCCTCATCCCTGCGGTGTGTTCAGCTGGGTGTGTGTGTGTGTGTGTCCAGGACTCCTCATCGCTGCGGTGTGTTCAGCTGTGTGTGTGTGTGTGTGTCCAGGACTCCTCATCGCTGCGGTGTGTTCAGCTGTGTGTGTGTGTGTGTGTCCAGGACTCCTCATCGCTGCGGTGTGTTCAGCTGGGTGTGTGTGTGTGTGTGTGTGTGTCCAGGACTCCTCATCCCTGCACTGAGTTCAGCCGGGCAGGGGCAGGGCTGTCGCGTGTCACCGGGCCACGCTCCCAGCGCCAGGTCGGGCCATCGCGGGCCATCTGTTGACTGACAGCGACGAGGGCTGGCCGGGAAGCCCGGGCCGGTGTGCGCCGGGGTTCCCCGGGCTCGGCCCCCGGGGCCCGGCCGAGCACTGGACGGGGAGCCTGGGCGGCTCACGTGACGA